ATATATATATCTATTAAAAAGAAAATGTTGGTGCTCAGAAATAAAAAAGATTCGTCATGTTGGTCGTTTATCTGGACCGAAGCAAACCAGTGCTATGCTGGTCTGCTAAACCACTTAAAAAWATTTTTTTTAAAGGTTCTGGTCTCTTTTTCCCACTGTGCAGCCTCTGCTTGGCTCATGGGTTAGAGGACTGGTTGGACTCTAAATAGAAACATTTACTGAAAATAAAAAAAAAACTATCAAAATTTGTTTAGAATAGATTTCCACAGACAAAACATTGCTTGAACAATTTGTAGCAGATCCCATTTTCACCAGAATTTAGTTAAACATTTCTGAAGTTTCACCCTTTCATGTTTGATCAAGCTCGTTTTTTTTAGAAACGTTAACTTCCAGTGAAACTTTAATGCATGTAAAATCTAGTAAAGCCTGACAAATCTGATCGTGATAAAGAGTGTGGAGGGAAAAAAACAACTTTTACAAGCTGATTCACACGTTCTTCTGGTTTGAGAATGACAAGTTTTCCCAGGAAGGAGGGATTACTCCTCTGCTGAAGGAGGGATTACTCCTCTGCTGCAGACAGGTACTTCCAGTGTGATAAACCATTTTGTTTTTGAATACTGTAAAAACAAAAACATCACGTCCATACGATTTTACTGACTCCGGGTTTAATTAAATCACGGTGTGAGGGAGTTTAGGATCTGATAAATAAGATGAATAGGTTTGAGGCAGTTTTGTGGCATTTCTAGAGAACAATAAAGCTTTCTCTGATACAAGCTTATATATTAACTCCCTCACCTGACAGCTGTATGACGCGTACAATCTCCTCAAGGAGATAATTCTCTGCTTAAACCAAAACACAATGAGAGACTTTTTTGAGGCAAATCACTTTTTTTTTACAGATTTAGGTAATGATTTACTGTGTGTTGTTGACCATTTAAAATCCTGTTCCTTTAACTTGAATTAAAAACAGCCCAGAGTGATTTCAGGACTGCTGTTAAGAGGGTTACAACTGCTCTGATGGGTTTGTGTCTAAATTCATTTTCAACCCATGAGCCAAGTTTGCTACCAGGTTTTGTACAAACCACTGCAGCACAAAGTGGATCACAACCACTTTAATAAACCCCCCCCATCCAAACTCCCACTCCCATCCACCTCCTGCTCTCAGTCCGTCGGGGGTGGGCGAGCTTCAGTTTACTTCTAAAGTCCATGGTTGTGGTCGTTTTGGTGGAGGAGGAGTTTAACCGGGGAGTGGGTCCTCCTCTCCTCCTCCTCGTATTGTGTTTGTAAAGATCAGAGTCATGTAGGTGGCTCACTAAGAGGAGGAGGGGGGGCTGCTCCTCCTCCTCTCACTCCTGGGCTATGCTCCTCAGGACGTACTTGACGGTGTAAGCAAACGCTGCAAAGCCTACGATCACAAACAGGTTGGCTAAAGCGCCGCCTAGAAGTCCGTGGTTCCGATTGGCCTGCTGCAGGCCGGGGGCGGGGTTTGCGCCTCCCACAGGGGCCGGTCCTCCGTTGAGGGCTGGGAGGCCATAGTGAGCTTGTTGAGGGTCTCCATCAGGAACTACGTCAGGTAAAGGGAGAGGCTGCGAGCGGGTGCTTAACTCCTTTTGGGCTTTTTGTTTCTGCTTAATCTCCTGACAAGAGAAAAGTGACGAGAGAGACGATTAATCCAAAGGACAGGAAGAGAGGGGGGAAAGGAAGAGAAGAACGATGTCACACTTACTTCCACGACCTCAGGAAAGAGCTCGCAGAACACTTTGTCTTTGAGGTTAAAGGCCAGGCTTTGGGCAGAAAGTTGTCTTTTCTACAAACAAACAAACAAACAAACAAACAAAATCCATCAAAAAGCACACGCTCTTCCTGTTTCTTACCTTTCAAACATGTTTTCACTCACTGTGTAGTCGGACGTCTCGATGCTTCCAAGTGTTGGTCCTTTCTCCACCATAAAGCTGAGCAAACCTGTGAGGATTGTGGACACGGACCAAGCAGGGTTCCACGTGTCCGGATGGAAGTCTGTGATGGACAAACATAACCTGCGACACAAACAGAAAAACGAACCAATGAGAAGACTTCACGCAGGAAATTCTCCTAAAGCCTGAATCCTTATCCAGTCAAACAGGGAAGAGCTTCCTCTTTACCTCGTGTTGCACTTGAATCTTCCGTTCGGTGTAATCATATAAATACTTGGTGGTTTAAAAGGAAATTCTCGAGGAAATATGAGTTTTCCGTGATAATAACCCCCTGAAAATAAACAAAAAGAGACAAAAGACATGTAAAACGCAAAATAATAAAAAAACATACAAAACATATTAACTTTGTCATTATTCTTAATAAAAACACAACATGATCAAACTGGAAGTTAAGTTCCTGTAAACATGTTTTTACCTTCATATGGAGTTTTCTCAGGACCTCTGACTACATAGTGCCTATAGAAGACAACAAGCAAACAGTTTGGTTGAGAAGAACTGCTTCCATTTTTCCTTTTAGAGCTCTACTTTCAAATTTAAATGCTACTAATAGCCTGACATCACACTGGACAATATGTCTCTTACAAATCTCTTTTTAGTCATTTATATAAACAAAATAAATATGGGTTTAATTGAAATGTTTGGCATTTCAGATGTTAAGGATGTACAAATCTAAGGAACAAAAGCAACATGAAAAGGAATCACTTATTATAGAATTTGCTAGTCATTTAAACAGACAAAAATGTTCAAAGTACAAATAGTTTTTGGAAAATGTTCTAATAATTAGACACTTGCAGTGAGTTATTTATGGGGTGAACTCAAAGTTTACTTTATTGAATACAAACTGTTAAAAATGTTAAATTTGTTGCCCACAGGCAGTGTTCCTGTTGAACTTGTTCATCGTGGACTGAGAGTTTCTTTGTGGCGTGACGCTACATCAACTTTTTATCTGTACCCATCTGATCATCAGGAAAGAAAAGATGTTTCACTTTAATAAAAATCAACCTGTCTGTAATCTGCAGAAACTGGACAAAGGAATTCACACAATGGTTACCCATCTGTTGTTTTGTTACAGCTGCAGTTCAGTTTGACTCAGAAACAGACACAGAGGAGGGAAAGAAGAAACTATAAATGCTGTGTTTCCAAACACCAAGGCCTTCTAAAATGTGATAACAGTGGATAAGAGAAATAATAATAGCTATTAGGTTAAAAATGGTTATTTTTCATCAAGTTTTATCTCAGACAGTTTGTAACTATGTGTTGGGCTCTTCACTAACTGGTTCAACACAAACAGAATGAGCTGAATTAGTTTACAGGACTGCAGGATCTGAAGCAACATCATCTCACTCTTCTACTCCAGAAAAACCAGGTCTGAGCTTCACCAAACCAACAGTCACTTCATGTTAGTTAACTGAGCTTTGAGCACCGAGACACAAGAGTGCTCTCCTCCACCTGCAGATCAGAGCCAGAGCAAACATTCCCCTGGTCTAAGGGACATTTTGGACATTAAGCCAGAGCTAAAGTTCAAGGACTGAAGCTTTCCTGGTAAACAGCTAAGATAACAAAGATCTCAGTGGAGCTACCGTCAATGTTCCTCATCCATCCTAGTGAGTTCCACCCAGGACAAGCTTCAGGGGTCAAACTCAGGTCCTCGAGGTCCTCTATCCTGCATGTTTTCCTTGTTTCTCTGCTCCAACACATCTGATTTGCATGAAGGGGTGATAAACAGCCTTTTACAGAATTTGAAGAGGCAGTTCAATCACTGACTCAGGTGTGTTGAAAATTCTCCATGTTTTTTGTAATTATTTCAATCCTTAACAGTTTTTTTTCTTTTTGGCTCTTTTCCAGAAGTAGGTGCACCTGGACCAGTCCTGGACCAGTTCTTCTGTGTTTACCTGTGTCTCTTTCCTGTCCCTCAAGCAGCCGGTCGAGGCAGATGGCCGCCTGTCCTGAGCCTGGTTCTGCTGGAGGTTTCTTCCTGATTAGCAGGGAGTTTTTCCTCTCCACCGTTTGCTCAGGATGGGAGACTGTGATGAAGTGATTCAACACAATCTGCTGGTTTCTTCTTTAGACCGTTCTTTTTTTTCATGTACAGTGCCCTGAGACAACGTATGTTGTGACTTGGCGCTGTATAAATAAACTGAACTGAACTGAATTGAATTGAAAAAGAAACAAGGAAAACATGCAGGACAGTGGTGCTCAAGCACTCAAGTTTGACACCTGAATCCCACATGATCTGCAATAATCTAAAAAGTTCAATTTAACAGTCTGGAATATTTTTTAAATATACCTGATAACAAGATTTACCATCAACAAATAAAACAGCAGAGACACTATAAACGTTTAGTTAGCAACAGTATGAAATCCATAACACAAATGTGTTATAACAAATGTATAACTAAATGTCAAAAGACCAACATTAATGTTAAGAAGAGATCATAAAAACTTTGTTTCTTATTAACATCAAAACACTGCAGAATCCTAACTAGAAACTTAAAAATAAAGAAGTGTTCCAGGAAACTAGAATAACAATAAAATAGAGCTGGAAAGTGATACGACAGAGATTTTATCTTTCCCTAGAAGAATCCCTCTCATCACTTAAGCTTGCTTTATACTTCAAGAAGACGTGCAACAGCGGTTTGTTGATTGCGCAATTTCAGCGCGTCTTTTTCTTGACTGAATATAAACGAGCTGCAGACGCAGTGGACATAAATAATCATAAATTCTCCCTCTGTCCTCCCTCAGCTCATATAAAGTATAAAAACTACAATAACAATGGCTGGATAGTGTTTTTGTCCACTCAACATCAGTATTAAGTTGAGTGAAGTAGGTCGTTTTTTTAAAGGTGGACAGAAAAAAAAGACATGACCASMTGTGTGCTCACGCTCCTTGGGACCTGGATCTTTTTAAAMCTRGCTTCAGACAAAAATATATATAATTTTTAACAAAATAACACGCAGAAGGAAGATCTGCTTTGGGTCCTGTTCTGGTCCAACTCTCGGCGCCACCACAGCTGAGGACCGCTGGCCCACTGGACCGGTGCTGCATGAATAAACGCACCCACGAAGTTTCAGACCAATCACACGCTCCGAGCCGCAACGTCTGCGTCTCAGAGTTCTGACTGGGGGCAATGTATAGGACAGCTGTCACCGGGGGATAGCAGCGGGAGGGAGAGCGGACGGAGGTTGTACAACTTTTTGTCACTCAGCGGGGGGAAAAGACGTGCGACTCGAAGTATAAACCAGCCTTTACACTGCAGTAATGACTGGAAATTTAATCTACAATCCTCATCGTCATGAAAAGGAAAAAGTAGAGCAATCAACAGCAATGGGTTATTTTAGAGAAGCTTTGAGTTACAAAGAAATGAAAATCCAAAATTATTTAATCGTTCTTTTGTTTTAGTTTAATTCGCTAAATTTATTAAAAAAGGAATTTCTGTAAGTGTTTGAGAAACACTAGCTTCATAAACTTAATTTAATGACATCAGGTTTAAACAAGCCATGTTGAGTTTAATAAGACATTCTTTGGGAGCCAGATGAACTGGTACAGCTACATATTAATGCCCAGTACTATAGTAATTTCCCCGCTGCGGGACAATAAAGGCTATTTCTATTCTACTTTCAGTTTGTGCAGATTTACCACCATCCTGTCTCTGAGACATTCTTATGTCATCTGCTTAATAAAAAAACCAATAAAAGATGATTCATTACCAAACACTTCCAGTCGGATTTTGTCTTTAATTCACCTGAACATGTACTTACGTGTGTATATACATGGGTTAAACCGATAAAAAAAAAATTAAAAAAAAATCACTCTTTTTTTTTTCCCTAAGTGTATTTTAAACGGATTATTTTTTGACCAATAATATGATCACAGTGAGTGTTGGATAATGGAAATGAAATAAATTTGCTTTTAGTATTTAAAATATATACGTGCTGAAAAGATGTAGACTACTTTCTTGGTGGTGATTATTAATCTACACGTCCTCTGAGGACATAAAGATGGAAATCTCACCATTCTAGGATGTTGGAGGGGAGAGGCTCTGCACAGATGTAAGGCACTGGGTCTTTCTTTATCCTGAGGTAATCCTGCTTAAGTCGCTGAGTGGCTGTAGTTGGAGCTCTCTTATTCCCGGTGTTGTTCATCTGAGACAAACGACACAAGTAGGAGGAACAGGTTCCTGTTACTTCGGTGCTAGTATCAACACAAAACTTCATTTAATACACACACACACCATCAGATATTTTCTTCTAGATTCAGCTGATGCTGCAGTGATCAATAGGCTTTATTTTATACATCATCATATTATGTAATGTAACCCCAGAGGAAGAAAAAGTACCTGCAGCTTTTTTCCCCATTTTTATATACATTTATCTTTTTTCTTTTTTTAAAGTTAACATGTTGAATATAGTTTGGCAGGAAATATTTACACAAATGATGGATAACGTTGTTATTGTTAAAMAAAAATTGAACCACCTACAAATTATACTGTGTGTATTAAGACATTGTTTTTATTCATGAAATAGAAATGCAAGGTTAACAGTTTTAGTCTATAAATTAAATTCTATTTTCATTCTTTCAATTGCAATTTGTTAAATTAAAATGTTATTTTAAGGAAAATAAAAATCCTTTAGTCAATTTCTCTGGTCTTCTTCCATGTGTACTTAATTTTATTCAGACCTGTACTTAAACTCTGCTCCTTTTTTTCATTGGTCCCAGAGGGGGGAAAAGTTCACCTAGTTACAACAAGTGTTAATAAATGCCAACACTTCTAGTTTCATCAAATGTCTGTCATTATTTATTTTCTTCTCAACACAAGTTTTAATTCAACCGGAGTATCAGATCATCTAACATTAAAGAGACTGTTACAGAGGGATGCAGATCAATCTAACTCCAGGACAATCTTTCTTAAGCACGTCATGATCAGTGGTGCCAGGTCCACTTATTWTAACTGACTTTGGGCTTCTTTTTTTCTAAAGTCGCTTGTAAATTCTGAGTCATGGGTTGCAGTTTTTTGGGCTAATTTTTGAACRWGAGTTGCTTATTTTGGGCTTGTCTTTCTTTCCGAATGACGCTTAACTCTGCTCCTGTTGAAGCTGAACACAAGGAGTAGTGGGTTTGTCCCTCCCATTCCCCCGTTTCCTGGTTGTCGCTCCCGCCCGAGTTCAGTCGGCACTAGGGTTGGGCAATATTAGCAAAAAAAATAATAATAATAATAATAATCACGATTAACTTGTGGTATTTAGCCAATAATGATTAATTTGATGATTAATCCCCTGGTCAMCCTTCTGTCCTGGTCACATGACCAATTTAGTGGGAAAGATTTGCTCTTCGTAAAAATCTGTTCCAAATTATGTCAACATTACAGACTTCAGGCTATACATCAATTTTTAAATTGTGTTGATGGATAAACACAGAACCTTTTTCAATGTTCATCCTATTKGAAGTGGAGAGAAGCACCGAGCGGACTGACCAGAGAAATCTCCAGTCAGTCTTACTGGTGGCATTAATCATATTAATCGTCAAGTGCCAAAAAATAATCGATTAATGTTTTTCTGACGATTAATTGCACACGATACGATTATGCCCAACCCTAGTCGGCACACTTCAAAACACATACACCAGAGCCCAGAGTGATGGGGAAACAAGCAGGGGTGAGGCAGTGCGGTCCGGTCCGGTTCAGAACTTATAACAGGAGACTTGATACAGCGCACATGTGCGTCTACTTCTAAAACACAGTGGGGATTGGTGCGCTCGATTTAATGGACTGGGACATTTTACWCAGGTGGTGCACAGACAAAAAATAAATAAATTAAATATGCTGCTTACATTGGGATACAACTACAGTACAGTAAAATATTGATAAGTTTTAATTTGTTTGGAATTTGCTGATTAAATTGCATGAATTGAGAGAGAACAATTTGAGCCAGAACCAATTTTTATATATCAGCAAAAACTACTTCTTCACCTCTGGATATACGGTAAGTGACAAAACAGAGTGAGAATGAGTTGCAGTAAGTCAGGAAAATATGGGGAAAAATATAATAAAGAGTGAGAAAAAAGAGCGCACAAAAGGTTTTTGAGAGTTTTTGTTGACCGTACTGTCATTTTGCTGCAAAATGCACTTTTCTTATGATCAGAGTTTAAAAGTATACAGCGGGTAAAATAAGTATTGAACACGTCACCATTTTTCTCAGTAAATATATTACTAGAGGTGCTAATG